CACACACACAGAGGCATCGAGAGAGAGAGAAAGAAGGAAAAGGGAGAGAGAGACACTTTCAGCCAGGTTTTTCTCCTGCCATTCAGACAGCTAAATGAAAAGAGGGGATTCAGGGAATGGCTGAGAGAGCGGAATTGGAGTTGGTGGGGGAATGGGGAGGTAGGGACGTCACGCTGATTACAGATGAGCGTGGACAGAAGGGCGGGAGGGAAAGAGGAAGGGAAAAAAATGGAAAGTCGTGCATGAGCATCTCTCTTCCTTATAATCTACCACTTTAGATGCGAGCATGACTATTAACCTCCCCCCAACCCCCCCTTTACACCTGAGCAAAATGGGAGTGGGCTCCTGGCACATCTCAAACACACCCTATGCATAATTCATGACCACTGCCACGGCGAGATGAAAGGAAGGAGGGTTCCAGCACAGAGGAGAGAGGGGAAAATTAGCTCGACACTTTCAGTTTTTCTCCCCTCCCTGCTCCCCTAGCCATCCTTTTCCTGGATGTTTGTCCGGTCTCTTGGGCCAAACTGAGCCCGTGTGGAGGTTTGATAGCACAATAGCATGCCCAAAAGAACCGTGCAAAGGACTGTAGTGCTACCACAAAGGCAGTACCTTATACATACTGTGTCAAAACACTCTGAGTTGGCTGTCATCTGAAGGTAGCCATTAACCCATGGTCAGGAGAGGACTCTGCACAGGCCAAGCTGCAAGGGCTGCATCATATTTATAAGATAACACACTGCTGCAGTCCCTCTTCACTCCCCTCTAATGCAGGGTTCATGCTCAAGTAGCTCTTTACACATAGATGGGCCCAGAACATTTTGAAGAACATAGGCAGAGTGGGAGCTGACAGGCAGAGTAGGCTGAATGAGTGCATTAAGGGAACAGCATGTTACTAATGTTGCTGTTTGTGTTTGCATGCTGTTATCTCTCCAGATTCTCGTTTGGCACACAAGAACAGAGAAGCCTGTCCTTGTAAATGAGGGGAAAAAGGGATTCACAGACCCCAATGTGGAGATTTGACCATCTTTCCTTCAGAACACGGTAAATTCTTTCATAAAGGCACTCCTGAATTAGCCGAAGCTGAACCTGTCATCCATCGACAAATTTAATTTCTAAATGAGGTGGATTTATAAGGTGGAAACGCAAATGTGATAATAATTGTCGCCTGATCTCACCTAGTTAGACTACAATAAGAGCAGGTGTTTTTAATACTCCCTAATACGTTGTACAGTCATTTTTAATATCCTTCTGCCAAAGGCCAATTACAGCAGCTGTTGTCCATTATTAAATGTCACCAAGGAAATAAACAGGCTCAATGAACTCAAATTAAGCTTTTACACTCTTTCTCAGCATATCTTAATCCTTTCTATTGCAGGTGGTTGGCCTTGGACCTTCAGAGGGAGAAAACGGTTGAGTTTCTTAAGTGCAACCAGCACTTATGTCTTAATCATCAGAAAATTGAAAAAGGAAGTGTGGGGCCTTTTGATAGGGGTTCTTATCCTCTTGACTGAATCTGACATATTTAAAATATGGACCAAAAACAGTACAAATGTATTAAAGCACAGATTAGTAAGAGGTGGCAGTCAGTAGTCAGGTCCATCACTGAAGTGCAGAGGCTCACTGTGGACAGTCCTGACCTGCACCTCCACTGAACAATGGCCCGCTGAAGACAACCCCTAATAAAAGAGACAGCACAATATGAAAAGCATACAGCCAGCGGATTCAACCAAACAAGCAGGTTAAAAAAATATTTCACCTCATATAACATAAAGGAAATAAAAACACAAATGAGTCTGGATCTGCACACGGCACACCAGAGAAATTCCTCTCGGATTTAAAGACATGGCCGACATCATCAGCCTGGATAAATATGTGACTCCAAGGACAAAGGTGTCTTATGTGGATTTTCCTTTTGAGCAAACACAAACAGCAAGGGAAGGACTTTTTTTTTTTTTTTTGATAACTATGAAATGTTTGCTTTAATTTAACTGGTTTAGGCCTTTTAAAAACATTTGACTTGCTAGTTCAATACTACTGACTCTTACCTACATCTACTCTTGGGTTGTCATCGTCCATTTTATAGTGTCATTAAAAGTTGTGTATTTAAGTCACCCATACACTTGAAGAGAGGCTGGAGTTTAAAATGTGACCCTTGTGCTTGGGAGCTAAAACAAATGTAAAAAATCAAAATCTCTTAGCACTTAAAAAAAATACACAAATGTAATTTAATATGAGAACAATCAGAGGACAAACAAATGCATTGTAATTACTGTATTACATACATAAAAATGATGATGAATGACACAATGAGGCACAGGTTAACTCTAGGTTCAGCTCATGGAAAGACTAATAGCACATTTGCAACTTAATTTTGTAAGAGAAAGCCCAGTTTGTGACACATTTATAACATGAGACAAGAACTTCAAATCAGCTACTTGGCAGATTCACAAATACTGACCTAATCTCCCATGTTGGTTAATATTTCCTCTTGTCTATGCACACTCATATGCACTGTTTACTAAGAGTTGGCTGTGTATAGTTAGAAATTTAAAAAGAAAAGAACATAAAGGATGAATCAGCATCTGGTTTTGTCAGTCCCTCTTCTCTCTACGTATTGTCTCCAGAAAACATAAACTTAGCTGCATTAAGCATGGCCCCCAATATTCAGATTTTTCTAAAATCTATGGCTTCCATATATGAAATCAGATTATACTTGCAACATTTAAGTGACAGCAGGCTAAGGAAAAGCACAATTAAAAATTTTAAAAGTATTTTTACTGATAATTTGGTAGCAATTACGACATGCCATCCTCAGTGCTAAGGTCTCATTCTTTCTTTTTGTACTCATATGCTGTATACATTAAGCGAATCGCAGTGGGGAGTCACTGCACCTCTAATGATAGACATCAGTAGCTATGGCATTGTACATTTTAACAAGGTTATTTTACACCTCATATAATAGAATCTCTTCTCTTCTTGATAAATCATCCATCTTATGCACAGTGGTTCTTATCTAACATTGTCCAGCAGAAGTATAGCTGGAGATAATTCAAACACTGAGCCTCTGTACTGTTGCCAGATTATCTCTGAGCACCCCCACCCCACCTATCCAACACACACACACACACACACACACACTCACAAAAACCCCAAAATACACTGCTGCACTATTAAAACTTTACAAAGACGCTATATCCTCTCAGGCTCATCGGCCGAAGAAAGTATGTTATTACACAATTTCATTTGGAATATGATAAGATAGAACATGAGGACAAAAGGCTGTTTCATATCTCTCATCACACTGGCTGTTTTCAATGACTGCATGTTATTACACTTTCACGGGGATCAGCCATGCAGATCATTAACTATCCTCCAATTATTTATTCAAAAATCAAATTTAATATATTTATTTATATATTTATTTCAAGCGTGGATGTGCAATTGAATCATAGCAGTGTTTTTTGCCCTTAAATCTCTACTCTCCAGCTGCTCTCTTAAACGGCATGCGCACATGCAGGATATACTAAACACATGGTTTACCATATAGATCAATAATAGGTACCAACAAGTACTATAGCACTGCTGATGGTTGCTCTTGAGTGGTCTTTAATCAAAATAAAAGAATCCACTTCAAATGTTTTATCACTGAAGCAAATAAAGACTTGTAGTCCAAAGTGGAAAAATGCCAGTGTGTATAAAAAAACAAACAAAAAAACCCTCTCCTTTAAAAAGCAGTATTATTCGTTTTCAACATGTTTATCATTTCCTCTTCGAAGGGCTGTACTACAAAGCGAGATTAGTGGGTTAGCAGGTATGTTGACCTTAAAACCAGATTTTTTAGTGTCACGAAGGTGGCTGTCTTTTTATGTGACTAGATCTCCATGGTAACCGATGTTGTGGAGCAGGTTATGTGCAGAGTTTTGGATTTAAATCGGCTAAACAGAGCGTCTCCTTTTAACCTGATCGTTTCCTGACTATTATTTATGAGCGATACAGATTCTCAGCTGAGGGAATATGTTTTATCTGCAAACATGCTGGGTTGTGCGTTACTAATATCACTAAATCAGGCCGTGTAGTTACAGTATCACACTGTATATATTGTTGCCATGGGAACCAGACATGTATGTTGTTTGGTGATGCAGAAAACGCATAAATATGTTTTCACGTTTGGCTCTGATTTGTGGTCAAGTCTATTTATACTGCTGCTACTGCAGCTGATAACAGAAAATGGATTATTCTATTGTTCAAAGAATATTCAGTCAATAACATTAATTTCACTTTGATTTGGCCAAATATTAAAGTGATATCCTGCATTATGGCACAATATCAGACCTAAATCCACTTCAATGCAAGATCATGTTTTAATGTATCAAGTTCAAGGTTTAACTTTAACGCGCAGCTGTCAGTTGGAAATAAGCGGCTGCATCGTTAAAATATTTTATATTACGCACGTTTAACAGTTTTCTACCAGCATGTTTGTCTTGCACCATTTGCAGTAGTGGCGCTTTTTATCGTCAGAATTGTTTTAATATTCCTCATTGTTCTCCAACCACCGCTGACTGTAGCGGCTGCACACCATCTCATTTTGTGCAGAAGAAGGGTCACGTGACGCCTTAAACGCCCCTTTATGTGAACGCGCAGTCTGAAGCAGAAAGTCTGAGATGACAAAAAAAGTTGATAACCACCTTCGTGATGCATGTAATCTCTGGCTGGGGCTTTTGTTTTTGTCCAGCAGGCTTACACAAAAAAAAGCCTGGCTATGTCAAACTTGCTTCGTAGTATAACCCTCAAGTGACACTAAATCCTCGGTTTCATCTTCTAAATGTTGCTTTTGTCAAGTTGCAGGCAAACAAATGTCATGTGGTGTACAGATCAGCATGTGATTGGACTGATTAAATAAGATTCTGTGATGTTTCTCTCTGTGCTGTGTCCTGAAGCAGCAGAACAAAAGGGCTTCACCTTTCAAGTAATGTTGTTACACGTCCCCCTACATCTGATTTGAGACTTTTCTGATTCCAACAGATGATGCATCAAGCAATATATTAGTCTATTAGAACCAACCTTCCTATGGTATACATCCACTTTAGCATTTAATGTCAGTTAATGAGCTTCTGAGGGTTTCTCTAAGGCACAAAACACACAAGTCCTCCCTTTTCCTCATCTCCACTGTCATCTTCCAGCCTCATGTGGTTCACATTTATGCATGTGAATGTTAAGGTTGTTTATTTGCCACAGCAGTTCTGTCTCAGAGAAAGATGTTAGTTGAATCAAGAGAAATAAATAACTGAGAAGAACCTCACTTGGCCCCGAGTGTTGCGTCCAGTGGATGTCCTCACACTGTGTTGCACTGCATCTATTTCTGTCCTCAGACTGCTCACAGGCTAATAAAAGCCTCAGACTACAGTTACAGTAACCAGAACATGTAACCCTCAACAGGATAAAACTGGATACAGTTGATGGATGGAATACTTAGTTCCACCAATTACATTTTACAAGGCCACAGTAAATAAGTGAAAGCTGATGTTGTTTTGAGCATGTTATGAGCAGTTCTACTTAGACTCTGACATTTTACATGTCGATTGTGTTCCCAGGTACTTATAATTTTCTAGTTTCAGATTTATTGCAACAGTTTGTACAGTAAACATAAATGGGATATCTTAGCTAAAAGACTTTAATAATGTGCAACCTGACTTTTAGAAAAACAGCTTGTGAAACCACCTCCAGGATTTACACACCACAAAAAACTGACCAGCTGCTGATCATTTTTTAGATATCCTACTACAATATATTAGCCTATGCAATCCCATTTGCAGCTTCCAATGTGACACGGCAGAAAATAATTAGGACTGTATCTAGATACAGAGACCCTGAAACCCAGTCTGTCATCTAGATTTCTCTGCAGAGATTCACAGCGTTTCATCTGAAAGTAAACATGAAAAAAAAAAAGTGTTCCAAGATAAATGAAGCAGTTCACAAGCTTCCTTGGCCTTGGTTACTGACACAAAGGTCAAATCAGTCTTTGTATACATGGCTTTTTACACAGTCAGGATGTAACCTACAAATTAAGTCTTTTGATGGAAGAGATTTCATTATTATCAAGATAATCCTTGTTCACAGTCTCTTGGTCTCCAGTTATGTAGTATTTGAGCACATGTTAAAGATACAGTTACAGAAATGAATAAAAAGGATTTAACACAATGTCAGTAATAAAAAACTGCAGTGGGGAAGCTGATTACACTTCTGCATTGGTGTCATGGTTTTTGGCTTATTTATTTGGATCGCCATAAGCTTCTGCCACAGTGTTGTTAATCATCCTGGGACCAACAATCTGTAAATGCATTACTAAAATCATTATATGAACTCACTTAGAAATATTCTACCAAACAAAAGCCAAAGATAACACCAATATAGGCATTGTCATTCTAGAAACATTGAATCGTTGTCACTTTTTAGAGCTGCAGGTTGTAGCAAGGTGCCAGATGATGCAGTTCTCATCTTCCTCCTTCCCTTATCAATGCTCCCTTTTCACTTCTTGTCCTCATTGGGCATCAACAGTCATGCCGTAGTCTGGGTTGATGGTAAACTGTATTTTACCATCTGTTTTCTGCTCTTCAAACACTATGACCTGTGACAAGGCAAAAAGTACAAGCTTAGTCGAGGTTGTGGAACAACAGGCAGAGTGGGTGGCTGAAGAAAAGTAGAAAAAGGCAGAAGGAGAAACAATGTAGTAGTCAACGCTTAGAGCTTTTTTTAAAAGTAATTGCTGAAGAGTAGAAAATTGGTAACTATATACTGTAAATCTTGACCTATGATATGAGATTAATTTGCCATATTACTGGATGTGAGTGGTGGTTGATGAGGCTAAATATTTGGAAAAACATTATGTTTAATATTTTTTAGCATATGTATTTAAAACATATTACTATTAAGACTGACTGATCATAAATGGATGAATTCTAAATTAATTTCAGATGTATCCAACTCCTGACCACCCAAGTTGGCACATGGCTATGCAAGAACTGAAATGATGACTGTTGAAACAATAACCAGCAACTACTTAGATAGCTTGTCCTGTGTGAGAATTTGACCATTTGTTGTATTTGCTCTGTAACTGAATATTTTTGAGTTTGTATTGTTTATCAGGCAAAGCGGAAAATTTGAAGAAATCACCTTAGTCTCAGTAAAACAGAGAAACATTTGGTTCCTGTTTTAAAGACATCAAGAAATGTCAACTGTGGACCGCATGAAATTGACAAGACAAGTGCAGCCAAATGTTGCAACAAAAAAAGTGCATGCATGTATAGTCTATATGCATTGACAGTGCATATGTTGTACCACCGAGTGCAGCAGCCACAAACTCTATTATTGACCACACTGAGGTGTCCCACCATACAGAAAGTTAATTTGTTTTTGACATATTGAATTGTGAAAGCTAACAAGTATAAAACAGTGTTTCTGTAGAGTGCATGCCTCTAGGTACGTCAGGGCTGTCCCTCTGAGGCCACACTAAAATGTGTTAAACTGACTTTGATAAATGAGCCTTCTTCATGTTAAGCACATGTGAGTATGTTTAAGACACAGTACCTGATTATCCCCCTTGTGAAGCCAGGGAGCTGGGACATAGAGAGTTTGCTGAGGACCAATGGTCCAATAGCGTCCCAAATTCTTGCCATTGATAAACACAACACCTTTGGTCCAGCCCTGTCAACAAAGTCACTTACTGTTAACAATGTACAAAAAAAGGAAAACATGGTTGGACTACCAACATCACGAGCCAAGCCATCCCTTCTAATGGTATCGTTTGCTAATTAATAAGAATTTGCTTTAATTAAAGCTATAAAATATGCACAAAGAAACACCAGAAATAATATTGTACAACCAGGCAGGGAAGTGATTGGTCAACTGGCACTCAACGTCTTCAATTAGCTGCAATATGTATAATAGCAGAAGAACAGATCATCTTTTCTGTAAAGAACCTTTTTAAGAGATCCTCTGATCTCACTACCAGAGTAAAGGAATAATATTATTGTGTAAATGTATCCAGTTAAATATAAGTGAACCAGCATTCAATAAAGCTGCTCAAGGAGTTATACCTCTGGGGATGTTCTGCAAATGCATGTTAACTATGAAATAAAAAATAATTAAACAAGTCAATCAACATTTATGACATCAATTACTGACAGAAAAGTCAACTGTAACTCTTTCATTCTTTCTGGTGAGGGTACGACAGTCTAGCTGGGTGTCAAATTTCATACCAGATCCACTAAGGAGAGATTCCCATGTCTGTGTGTGTGAAGACAGCTTTTGACTGATTGTCAGTTTATATCAGTCCTGCTTTACTCAACCTGCCTGACCATGCAAATGAAGACTTCAGCTGATAAAGCGATGCTATAATAGAGCAGAACTGCCTATTCAGCCAGGCATACAATTAAGGCTTCACTTTAAAAGTAAGGTATTAATATTCAGGAATTTCAGGTACAGCAAGGACCAAGTTCAGGTAATAATCATTTCCAAAAATAGCATACAGTGTAGTATCTTTAAGAGCTTTTAAGTATGTAAATTATCAATGAGCATGTAATTTCTGTTATGTAAAAAAGTTTTTTTTAAAAATCAACCACGTTTAGTAAATGTCTTAACTTGCAATGATATTCTCAAAAATGTCATTTTCACTGTAAGGTTAACAAAAATAACAAACATCGCTCAAAATGTATATGTCCTTGTAAGTCTAAATGTTCAGTTTTTTTCTATGTTAGCACTGAATAAATTTCATGCCAGTTTTGAGGCTGTAATTTATAGTATTGCTGTACTAGAACAGAAGCTCTGTTGGCCGTTGTACTCACATCAAGTTTCATGAAGGTGTCTTGAGGAGAGCCATTCACGTAGAGTCTCGCCTGGAAAAACCCTGGGAAGGAGGGCTGCTGGCGCATAGACACCCAGTGGCCTGAACTCTCAAGTCTGTAAAAGGAGAATAAATATCAGTTCTGCTAAGGTACATTCTGTTGTGTTGCAAATTTTATTTAAAAAATCTATCAGCCTTGACTTTTCGGAGGTCTTTTTGCCAGCCAGCAGTATATCATGTCCTTCATAAAATATTTATTTGCCTACAGTAAATGTCAAGCAAAAGTTTGGAAATGGATGGAAGGGGAAATATTCAGACTATAGGTTATACTTTGCCTCCAAGTAAATGCAAAAGGTTACACTGATATAAGAGCAATTTTTTTTCTTTTGTTCACTCATACAGAGCTTCAGGCCTCGACATTTTCAGAAACATTTTCAGAATGGTGCTGAGGTAAGGTAATTGCAGATTATTAATACGTGGGGAGAGACTCCACATGGCTTGAAAATACAGTATATCTACAGTAGATAATGTACCACTGCAGGGCTAAATATAAGCCTCTGAACAAACTAATCCTAGTAACAAGTCTTTATTATCTGTGGTGAAATGAGCCACATACTGAGTAGGGTAAAACACACAAGAAAACACTAGTGTAATTAAAATAATCATTTACAGGAAGGAATAACTGTATAATCTGGTAATATGGAAATGTCATAAGGAAAAAGCACTTGCACCTTGGGGTTGTAGAATGACAAGTTAATGTCTGACTCCTGTGCTTGCATGTATATACGTTAACAGACCTAATGACTATTGCAGGACAGGAGTCAAATTTAAGGTTTCTGTATTCAATTACTGTTCCTGTTTTGCATATTGCTGTGATACTTCTCATGACTGTCCCATTGAAAACATTTTTAACACATGTGGAAGATAGGAACTGGCTGTTTCAGTGCTTGGGAATGGAAATGGCATATTAAGTAACTCACACTTATGATGTTCATAATTTAAAATGTTTGACATGTGAAACTGGATTAGAAGGGTGTGCCTTGGTTCTGAATTTTGCCATCATTTTCCTATTGTAATTGTGTTAAGCGGGAGATAATCAGCTGGAGTGAATCAGAGGCAGGCAGGTGTAATGACCGAGAAACACAAACATAAGGGGGAAACTGGATAATAATTGAAAGACACAAACCTGTTTACAAAGTCAGGCTTCAGTTCCAGGCTATGAATAATGAAGTCTCGGAGGATGTCCTTGTTTAACAGAATATCTCCAACAAGACCTGAAAGGTGAGTTAAAGCCACGGCCAGTTTTTTTAATGGATCTTAAGACACAGTTAATTAGTTTCTTTCAAGGTCTCTAATGGAAACACATCTTTCAGCAAGACTCATGCTGACTGGAACATCTACAAAGCCATCGGTTTGTGGAACTGTTTGTACCTTTGCGCTGCTCATCCAGGACTTTCCCATAATTCACTCTTCCACTGTTCTCCACCAGCAAACTTAGAGTTCTTTTTCCCTTCAGTGGGAAAATACATAAAACATGAGAGGCATTACTGACAAACAGTGGTATTCTTGAATAGAAAGAATTCACAAAAAACAAAAGAGGCAAATATTTCTTTCGGCGGATCTGAGTTTAGTAATTGATCGAGGGTGATGTGTGCCAGTAAGGTTGAAGGTAACTATTCAAATTTGTTAACAAAAGCAGTCATTTGAAGATTTGCTGGCTTACTACTGAAACCTTGCTGCCAAAACCATCCACCAGCACCCCCTGAAGCTTTCACATGCTGCGTGTTCTTAAATGTTTAAAACTTTATCCTTTAGAAACAGCAGACTAGGTCTAAACTACAAACATGAGGGCAAATAAGTTCTACTCATAAGTTACCTCGCCATCAGGTAGTGCAAATTTGCTTGTCTGGTAGTCCAAAACACCAACAAACTGTTTTTCCACAAACACCTGCAAAAAAAGAGAAACGAAACGGACACAGCCGCATCAAAAAAAAAAAATCTAACTGTTCATGTTGCTATTGTGACCATACAGAAAGCAGAGGGAAGGCAGCAGGAGCAATACACTTGTCTGAAGCTTACAGATGGTATGCAAATGACTAAATGTATTTGTCTTTCACTGCATTCAGTCTTTGACTGAAGAATCTGGACATTTCATGAGGACTGTCCATTAATACCAGAGCAAATGGTCAGAGATTCAGTTTGTTAATTTGTACTCCACAAGTGCTCTGATCAAAGCTGTGATTTTTAACAAGCAGACTGCAGCTTCTAAGCACGAATGTTCTCACAGTGGAAAGCCGAAAGTGTGACTGTGGATGCATTAAGTGTGTCTTGCTGTCCTCACCAGTGCTCTGTCTCTGACATTGTTCTGCGAGTTGAGGACTCCTCCACTGGTGATGGTGGTCTCGTACAGTGTGTAGCCGTATGACTGACCATTGTTGTTGTTGACAGGGAGATTCTCCATGTTCACTGGCGTCTCTGACTTAAAAGGCTACAAAATACACACAAAAAGACTTTAATACAGATATCTAAACATATAATATGCAAATCACCCTTAAAATGGGTTTAAATGTAATATTGAAATCTATATTGTTTTGAAATAGCTGGATAAAGTTTGCTGTATTCAATGCAGATGGGATTTTGTGATTCTCCCATTTGCAAGATGGCTAGATCCCAAGTGATGATTTATCAAAGCTAATGAAGCCTTCCTGTCTGGTGTCTTTTATTTAGCAACACTTCCTTTGCAAACCCTTGGGAGGGGCATTATGCACTTTTCACAGGACAATAAACACCGCCTGCTATGACAGGATTAACCACATACCTCCAAACACACAGATACAATATCCAACTCAGACAACCCACTCAGTTTCTCTGAGGCCACTGAAGAGAGAAACGCTCTTTTTAAACGAGGGTGTTTGACCGGTCAGGGGGAAAGTAATTGTCGTCTCAGAGGGGAGGCAAATTATTGCGATGGGGAGTGAATAATTAATGTTGTAAGCAGCTGCCAGACGTGCTACATCTGGTTTGAATATAAATGCCACAGAAGAGCATGGTGTAAAGTGGCTAAACTAGACTGGTGGACATGAAAGTAAGCAGTCATGACAACACCTTCCAAAGAGGTTGTTTAAGCAGTCATTTTCTTTTTCCTCTTTGGCAAGGGGAGACTTTCTGTTACATTTAGATCCTATTTCAGCAGCAATCTGCCTAACAGTCATAAAGCTGCCCACAGTTTGATTACTGCGGGTCCCCAAGAAGGCCAGTGGTGTAGTTAGGACAGAGTGTCTTGCTCAGGTCCTCCTCAGTATTAACAGAGCAGTGTTACTCCTTCATTTCCCCATTCAGACTATGCAGTTGGTCCAGGAAATAAAGCTGGTGGTGGACAATGGCACATCAAAGCTTCAAGTTGAATTTTTGTAGATTAGTTAGGACATATGCCAGATGTGATACTGTTTTACTGGAGTATAAAACAACTCTGCACAGATAGGTAGGTAATGCAAATAAGGTTAGTTTGACAGAATGATAGGCCTGGGCAACAAAATGCAAAAGATGGAAACTGACATGAAAGCATACAATGAAAACGCAAAGTTCAATTGCATAAACAAAGCCAAGGGTGCTCCCTTCATAGCTCATTAGCAGCCAATCATATCCCTTGATAATGAAGCATGTTACTCTCCATCACTCATCACTATTGGCTTTCATGCAAGACTCCCGAGGTACGCTAGTCTGTTGCTGCCTGAGTATTTTGTCAACCCTGGTTGCAACTCCAGACCTCCTCTAGTGGAGGTTACAAAACACCCACTAGTTAGTGGCCCAAACACCCACAACCCCATGTACACAATCGCCTTTACGTAAATTCTGTACTCCTGGTGGCCTGTTTGGAGGGCTAACGTGCTTTATGTCGGGATGCAAAAAGACCCAGTGCGGCACTGGGTGTTGCTCGCTTTTTTATTTATTGTGTATCAAGGTAAGATTATCCTTACTTATTTATTTATTTATTTATTTGTTTGTTTGTTTGTTTGTGTATTTTGCATTGTTGCATTTACATTAAAATCATTACCTGCACACCTTGATAAATAGACTGAAGTGGTTACATACTAATTAAGTGTTTTTTTTTCTCCAGATGTTTCTGAAAAATATGTCATTAAAAATGTTAATTGAAAAATGTTATCGTGGTAAGTTTTTCAGTTATTTAGCCCAGCATAAGGTAATCCCATGGATTTATTCAAAACTGAAACACTAATACATCTTGTCTCAATTTGACATAATACATACTTGTTTGAATACATTTATTTTTAAAGACAAATCTTTAAAGATGACAACTAACAGAACAGGTTATTACACTTTACTGTAAGTGTTCATAATGGATTGTTTATGCCATTTGCAAAATATGGCCAGAGAAATTGGTAACAATTTATGCTAAGAACTGGTAACACGTAGATGGCAGATTTAATATGTAATCATTTAGGCAAGCACAAATTCTGCACTGAGTAGGCAGATATGATAAGGGGCTTGTGTTGCAGCTGTAGGTGCTGTATACATGCGACCTCAGGCTTGGATAGACATACGGAATCACAGTTGAGAACTTCATGTGCAACGCAAGGCTCGCAGAGAATGAGAATACACAATTTTAAGTGGAACAAAGACCATCACAGCCTGCACACAGCACATTTTCTTTGAGTTTATTTCATGGCGTAGTTGAATTACTTATGAATCAAGTGTTTTATGTATTCCTGTAGTCTCTAAACAAACTTGCAGCTTTGCTACACTATGCAGATGATAGTGCCTCAATTTTTGCCACTCTCTGTGCAGCTGTGGCTTACCTTGTCAGTGAATTGCAGACTGTCCCACAGAGACAGGTGCTTCTGGATAACAGCAGGCTGGTACGCTTTCCTATCCTGAAGAGAGGGCAGTTCAGGCAGAGGCTCGGCTGAAAAACAAGGAGGGAAAATTAGCAAAGCTTGCAGTTTCTCTGTTTGCCTTTATCTTTTTTTTACCCTGGGGGTCCAAAAGACTCCTATTCTTTTTGAGGGATTTCAGAATTACCACATGATTTTTGTAAACTAAAAACACAAAATATACATGAATCTTAATATATTTTTAAGCACATGTAAATTTAGTAAGTGAAGGGGGTTCACGATATTTAAAGAAATCTCTTAAAATCTGTCAAGGGAAAAAAAGCATAAACATTTACATGTTCTTCACAGAACAACATGGCTGTTTTGTGAATAAAAATTGTAATTCATAAAAATGTTCTGGTACTGCTGGTACTTGTTTTATTTGGCATGCAAAAAAATTCACAAAAATATACAAAAAGCCCGTGGACCTCCTACTGGACTATTACAGCACTACAGACTGTCCCAGCCGAAAAGGTCCCCTGAAAACTGTTTTTAAGGCTCGTCTTGAGAGTCACTTGCAGCATCCAGTTTGTGTTCTAGTTTACAAAACAGCCTCCCTACAAAGATAAACAGTGGTTGCCCATGCCCTCCAACTGCTTTTAAAGGTGTTAAAGCATGCAGAGACACCAGCAGTCCCTCTGGAAAAGGCTTGACAACATTTCCTTATCACCAAGTGGTAACAGCTGGATCACTTAAGGGAAGCTTTAAGGGTAATGGCCAACACCTTTCTTCTGAATAGCTCCCACTAAAGCTTACAAACCAGTGCTTTTAATGGTGACATATGTCAGATCTAACAGAAGAAGACTGAGAAGACCTTTGCTTTTGGAAGCCCATGTTATCCCAATTTATCTACATACTTCTAATCCTATACTTAATAGAATCTGTCTAGTCTAATGTAGTCATTTTTAAAATTTCCTTCTTCTTGACATTTATCTTTCTTCACAGAAAACTGTCAATGGTTAATTACAAGAATGAATCACTTCATTTGAAATGAATTTAGGATAAATAGGTAACATCAATAGAAAGCTAACTTAAAATGTATGAGCAGCTTGTTTTAATACTATATACTGTATTTCTTAAAAGCATTAAATATCAGCATCTACTGTATGTCACAGATCTACTTAAAGAGTCATGATTAGTGTTAGACTTTTGACAGTTCAGCCTGAATCCATGCCAACATCTGCCAAAACATCTCCACAGGGCAAAGACTGACACAATATATATGATCTGACAAGTAAACAATGATAAAATATCAAGCTGATCTAATTAAAGAATTAGGTTGTGTGTTCGTGGTTGCTGAGAAGAACCCAAAGCTTTCTCAGACTAACTTTCATATCCAGGCCACTGCTCATTGTTCAGCAGACTACAAAACATAAGGATGAATCACGCATAGGGAGCCTTTCAAACTATCTTCAATCACTAAAATGACAGGGAAATTATTACTCTGTTGCACTGGATTCAATCCCAGATTGCCAAAAGCTAGTCTTATCCACAAAACACACGAGACTTCTGTCCCACCACAAAAACCCTGCATTAACAAATAGGGAAATGCGCACAAACAATTGACATGATGCAATGTTATTTTCATAATGGTCAGAAATTGAGGGTCTTTGGCTTGGGCAGAAATCTCACACACATACACCTAATCCATGCTTGTAATCACATTCAAAAGTATCCTCCTTTAGTCAACAGAGAACAGGTTGTACAAGTTGAATTAACTTAAATGGAGAGATGAAAGGAAAAGGAGAGAAAGGCAGAAGATGTGGGGCCCATCGACACTCACTGTGGTACTGGCTGAATAAATTCCTCAGAAGATGGTACTTGGTGGTGTAATCCCCAGCCTCGGATAATGGAGCATCGTAATCTGAAAGATAATGCGCTATCAGAACAGCGGGCTCGGGAGCCAGAGAGGCAGGGATGCCTCTTACTATGGCAGATGCTTTCACTGTACTCCCCTATCAAACATCTTGAGACAGCAGCGGGCCGAGACACATTCTGCTCTATCTTGACAGAAAATGGGGCCCTTTTTGAAGCAATAGCGTAAAAGGCATTTGGAGGAGTAAACACAGGTATGAAGACTGCTGAAGGTCAGAGGTGGCCTTGCCTACTGCTGAGCTGTTTTCACATTTCTCCTCCTTTCTGAAGAATGAGGTCATTACAATGTTAAGTACCCTTGAGGAGGATATAAAACCCATTGTACCATCTTCAATTTACATTTCTCATGTATTTTATTAGGCAATGAATTCATTTATGTGCACTGCATATTCAAATTCCTAAGCAGCCATAGAAGGTCAGAGGCTACTGAGTAGGGATAGCGCCATCTACAGACGCTATAGATATCCTCATCCTATTTTAGTCTGTCACATTTGTTTCAATGCGCCAGTCAGACTGGAACAGTCTCTATTTCAAAGACGGTATTGATAGATTATAGAATACATGATGACTTAGCCTACTGGGATGGAAAATCACTCATTAGAATAAAACCAGTAACTGAGAATATGGGTTTTGGCTATTAAAATGCAATTTTGTGGTGAATTCTTGTGGAAATAAACCTAGTTAAAACCTGACCATTCAATCCTGTATAAGCCCATTTCCCTAACTCTTAGAGGCAATTTTGCTTTGTCAAATGTTAGAAAGTTCTCACTAGTGTGCTGTACAAACACATAAAAGCAAACAGATTCATTACACATACCGTAGCTTGTTATGATGGGTTTAGCTATAGGTCTCCCAACATCAACTGCCCCATTCAAGAAGCCAAAATTTGTCCCTCCATGGAACATGTAAATGTTGATAGACATGTCCATCTTGAGAATCTCTTCGACCACACCTTTCATCTCTGTCAAAAAGAGAAAGACAGTGTTTAATTAGGGTTCATTACTTAATATAACACAAAGCTAAATATTCAGCAACAGAAAGAGTTTTTTTTTTTTTTTTTTTTTTAATAACAAGGGGGGGATCCACCTTTTTCTGGCTTTAACAAGACAGAGCCATTTTTTCAATTTTCTGTTGCCCTCAATTCCAGTTCAATTGAATAATAGACCGACCTCAGCCACACATCCTATTACAGGTTGCGATAATTCATTACAAGGCAGTGCTCATGCCCATAAAATGGCCTCCCTCCCTGCACAAATTAGCTACCTATATTTTGCAGTGAACATAGCAGAGCGAGCAATTAAGTATTAAAATTGAACTTTAGTAGTCAAATTGGACTGAGTTTAATGATTTGAATCAAGGGCATGAGCTTTAGTGAATAACAATTGGGCAGGGTGAGTGACAGAGTTGGACTCGGTTGGTTTCATAGCAGTGCCACTAACTGTGACCAACTGCTGGGCGTCTCTGCAGTCTGCAGAGCACTGAACTGTCAAGGACACGAATCCCCTCTGAATATTCCAGTGTTCATTTCATTGCTGTGACACTTTCTGCATGGTGAGGGTCTTTTTCTTCACTTTTCCCTTTCGCACCGAGTGAGAAAATACATAAGGAAGCAAGACGGCTGGCCCTTTCATTTTCAGAACACTTTGTTGAGATGTGGATGGCTGCTGGGAATGACAAGAGTAAAAAGGGAGCTTGAGGCTCTGCACTGTGTGTTTGAAATAAGATGTTTCTAAGAGCACTCAAGATGCTGATAGTGGGGTGTGTGACTGTTACTAATCATTACAGTTGTGAAAAAGGTGCTATAATTTATGTCATGACTATGCATTAAAGAAAAAAATACAACCCTCCTGGTTGTAGCATGTGGACCATGGTAGATGGCTGATGTGTGGGATATAGCACAGAGTACATAGGAATTAGCAATTTGCTATTGTAAATACATGACTTGTTGTTGTAAATATGCGCTATACAAATAAAATTGAATTGAAATAAAATTGAATGTTACATTTGGATATTTTGTATACTTTTATGGCCTGCACACCAACAGCAAGGGTTAGGTGTTCCCAACTGAATAGCTTATGGCATATTTGTTTGTGACATGCAAGTCTAAAATTCTGTGGAAAGATTGTTCATATGTAGCGTGTTAGCATGTTCAAGATTTAGGGTCATTCCAGCTCCCACTGCTCCCTTTTCCTATGCTCCCCTTTCCTATATCCCCCCAGTTTCCCTTACCGCAGTGCTTGCAGCACAAACATGAACAAGTACAAGTGTGAACATACAGGACAGGCTGGAGCAGGGTTGTGTGGAGCCGCCCTAGCCACTTTGTATATATGCATGTTTGTTAAAGAGTAAATGGGGTTGTGAAAGTCCTTTTTCACAACAGACAGCTAGCAGTCAGTCAGGAGACAAAAAGTGTGCTCAGCTAGAATGGAATACTCCATCTTAATTTAATTATTTAATAAACAGGGTATTAACTGGCTATTTTCAATAATTAATCAAGCAAAAATGCTGAATAATAACTGGCTATGGCATCTCAAATTGAAAGAGCATTATCATCATTATTTGAAATTAAATGTTAAGATTATGGACTGTTTATTAAACAAAGCAAGTAAATCTGAGGTGCCCTTGGATCTGGGGTACTGTTAAGAGCGTTTATTTCTCTCCATTTTGATAGGTTATCTTAAGTAAATGAGTGTTTAAATGAAAATAAAAGAGATACTAGTTTAGAGTTTACTGAAATGTTCACCCAAAGTACAAGATTTTAAAGGAGTTGCAAATGTGAAGCTGGAATCACTTTGGAGCAATATTTTTAAAGCTGGATTTCTTTTTTTTTTTTCTCCTTTTTTAAAACACTTATTTATACTATTGTACTTCTACAATACAACATTTAAGATATTGTACATCTCACTCAATCCGTTTATTTATATGTATAGTTACTACTCATAAAGGTACTTTATGCAAAATATTCTCTGAGCTCACCTACTAAATTATAATGCACAGTCTTTCAGGGAGACCTGGTTCTGTATTTACTCAAATCATGTCATGAGAATATTTCCACCTATTGTCAACTCAAGTACTGTCTGTTTTTTTTTGTTTGTTTGTTTTTAATTCTGGTGCATCAACATACCTTGTACTTCTTGTTTCAAGTTACAGTTAGTTATTTAGATCATTTTATTTGAATTAAATATATTGTAGTAATATTTCTATATTTTCCACTTGTTTTAGGAAAATAAGGTTTTTGAATCCAACTGTAGGTAAAATTATTAGTTTGGTGCTTTTGTACCGTTAGAGTCTAAAAAGACAACAGTACAGTCGTTAATAATAGCTCAAGTTTAAATGGTTACAACTGTAAAATGTTTAATGCTTGTTGGTGCAAGAGTAATCACAACTCAATGATCTAGTATAGACAATGTAATACCATGAAGTAGGTTTAGAGTTCTGTTACTTTTGATACAAGACTTTTGTTTACATTGTCGCATTACTATTTTTATTTTGGCAAAGAATTTGAGTACTTCTTCCACCACTGCTCATGGGTGACATGATAGACAATCCTGCCAGTGCTTTCCTGCCATTCCACAGATGCACAGTTGGTGCAACAAGGAGCCAGGAAATGTACTAATGCATAAAGAGAGGCCAAAAAATAAGAAACTGCTGGCAACCATGCATGCAAAATTTAAATTCTTCCAAAAAATCTCCTCTGCAAATGTTTTCTTTGAAGAAGGAAGTGCTTTAACACATGTTTGAAGGCCTTACTGACAGACACAAGTGTGAGAGTAAATGCAACTTTTTTGTTTACAAAGGATTCTCTTGAGTTTAGGTTTAAGATGTTTTGTCAGGTCATAAGCTCTTAAGCTAGCAGGTAAATACCACGATAAGCATGCATCATTTCACTTGCTCTATAGGACATTGTCACAGGAGTAAAGGTAGCTCATAGAAAACTAAATAAGGATGCATTTCATGAGCAGAAATGTTGTTTGATCAAATTTGTAGATACACATACATAGGAATAGGGAGGGCTGACACCTCCACCTGAGTTCAGTGAGAATCAGTGCAGGACATCTTTGAAAAAACAAAGTATTTGAAAATACAAGTAAGAGGATGCAACACAGACTCTGCTTTGGGATACTAGTTCACAATCTACCATGCATGAAAATTATATAAATCTCTGACAAAGCCACAAAACAAATAGGGAATGACCATATGCTCAGCTGTATAGCGGGCCTTGTGCCATTTGTGAAGAAGCCATCATTTTAGAGACTGTCTTGCACTCAGCCTAAAGAATGTATCTCACATAACCCCATCCAGCAGCAATGAGTATGTCCTCACACACTCTTTCCCCTGGCACAGAGACGGTTTTATACTCAGCTAAAAAGGTTTGTCTTAAGCCTTTCTTACCCTAAGGCACTGAAACTCTGTCTTACCCTCCAGACAGTCTGTTTTACCTTCAGAGATTCTGTAGCAGCTTGCAGCGCAAAAACTGTCTCACCCCAGTTTCAAATGAGTCATTATTATCGACCCTCTGCACAGAAAGAAACTGTGTCACCCTCAATAAAGAATCCCTCAACAGAAATACCATCTTACCCTTTTGTGGACACCTGTCTTGCCCTTGTCAGTGTGTTTGTTACGATTCCGAAAAAATAAGGCATGTCTTACTCTCGGCAGCGTATACATGGTGAAGGCCATCCCAGGTATCAAACCAGCCAGACCAATACTCCATCACCATCTTGGGCCTTTCAGGCTAGAGGATGAAAAATGGCTGTGTTATTAAAAGCCTAACAGTTTTAAAATACAACACAAACTCAGCAAACCAAAAGATATGTCTTAAAGACCTTTTAGTTTCTTTCATTGCCTACACTGACTGTTATGGCACAATCTCATATCATCTTAAAATTCATTCTTTATTATGTTTCTTGCTGGTAGAGACTTTGATTATATCAGAAAACGAGTCATGTTCAACTCCAAAATCTGCCAACAGAAATTTTACAAGACCCAACAGTTTAAAAATTTGTGCCACACAAATTACACTTACTTGTATTTCATCCAGATACTTCACATGCTCTGGGTGCAGCTTCTGAAAATTGATGGTTTCCAGTGCTTCCAAGAAAAGAGAAGTCCAATATTGTGGTAAAAATGAAAAACTACTTGATTATTTAATCAGTAGTTCCATAAACCTCTTGTAGAGTTTAAATTATCCTTTAACTCACAAAATTAAAAAGCAAAAAATGGTTCTAATGTAAGTTTCTGCAGGACTGGGGACTTTAGCTGGTCACACTGTTGTGCATTCAACATGCAAATCAGGAAAATAAGAATAAGAAATACTCTGCATATGAAAAACAATTATAGAGCTGCATTAAAATACTGTATGAATTCCCAGAGGGCAGTTCACTATAAAATACCCTTGTGGATTCTGCCCCTTTAATTATGTGACTAATGTTAATGCAGTGCTTGTGTTGATAATAAATGCAGGAAAATAAATCACAGCAGTAACCATATTATGGCTTTAAGACAATCGTAACTAATGCATGTACATTAAAATATTAAATTTGTCAAAAAAAGACAGCAAGTAAAACTTGTTATCTTGCACTGCAATATTTATGCCAGGAAACGTGCAAAAACAATTAGTTCCTGGTACAACACAGACTCTTCTGTGTCTACCATTTGGTTCTGAACTGCAGTTGCATGACACTGAGCTGCCCTTGGCTCAGACCTCTTACTATTGTTTCTGAAAACAACACGCACCAACTAACATACTGTATAATGTGTGTGTGTTTTAATGGGTATGTGTGTGTATGCATGGGCTTGTTTGCCTGTCAGCCTATCTGACAATACCTCCTTTCACTCCTCCACGGCCTTGCCCATCCCTGCCGTCTGAGGTCACCAGCAGCTCGGTGATGCCCCTTGATAATAACGCCTAGAAAGAAAGGAGGATTAAAAAGGCAACAGAACAAAACAGTGGAGGTTCTTTCTGTGAATATAACTGTTTTTTAGGACAGCAAGTGAGCAAAGGACAGCAGGAGGAACAAGGTGAACAAGTTCAGTCTCAGTTACGAGCTACTAATTATTATAATAATTTACAACTGGGTTTCTTACCTCCTTGGTGAAAAGCATGTACTGTTCATCTGTAGCATAGGCACCATATTCATTCTCCACTTGAACTGCTATAATTGGGCCACCCATGGTGTACTGCGCAAAAATTAGCCGATGAATAGAAAACACATATTAAGGCTTGGCAACAGTTTTGGACATCCCCACCCTCAATACACCTGAATTGTAAAAATGTGTGACATGGACATTAGAAAGTGGTAAATGATGACTGGAGCTAATAAATCAAAAATACGTTAAGAACGATATGAGTTGAAGAATTCAAGTACGCATGGTAACTGCTAGCAATACTAACATTGGCGATTATATGCCCAACAGCAGTGTGTTATTACACAGTGTATAGTAAATCCCACAATTCTTCATATCCTCACCAAATTTGGATTTATCATGAATTCCTATTTGAGCAACAAGCTTCTTCTGGCTGGACATAAACAACTGACTAAAGGCATTTTGTTAAATATGTTAATGATAAACTTTACTTTTTTTTAAGTATTATTACTAAAAAATTATATGTCCAGAATAATTCATTCATGAGATTGTTGCAACTTTTTACAAATATATACTATTCCAAATGATCCTACCATATACTAGGTACATACACTCTAATCTACTATACATTGAAAACAACAACTCTAGCCAGTTACTAGTCAATTCCAAATCATGGCTGTAAAGAAAGATCGTAGTGAGCTTGTTGTAAGGATCCATCACTGAGTTGCGCATCATGACTGCATACAAGACGGGGAAAGAGTAAAGCCATATCCAAGTGTTTTCAAATGCCAGTGGCCATAGTACAAAGTATAATCAAAAAGTACAAGAAAACACTGTAAAAATCCTAAGAGTGTGGCCAGAGGCCAAAAATGACCTCTGTTCTGGAAAGAATGGTGGTGAAAGAGGTCAAGAAGAATCCAAGAATCTCCACCAACATGTCTAGGCAGACACTGCACAAGGCTGGTCTCAATAGACACCGACAAAGAAGGACTCCACTTCTTCAAGAAAGACATACAAAAATACACCTAACCTTTGCTAAAGCTCACCTAGACAAAGAAGAAGGCTTTCGGTAATCAGTTCTGTAGTCAGTTCAGATAGTAATAGAGTTGTTTTGACACAGGGACATGGTTTATGTTTAGAGAAATAAAGAAATATTTATTCCCAAGAACACCACCGCCACTGCCAAACATGGACAAAAAGTAAACGGCATCATTAGAAAAGAGGACTATATTAAGATTGTAAAGGAAAACATCAGGCAGCCTATAGAAAAACTCGGCCTCTGGAAAAATTGGACCTTAAAACAAGACAATGACCAGAAAAGTGAAGTCATAATGGCTAAAAAATAGTTTAAAGAAAACAATGTCAACATTCTGAAGTGGCCCAGACAGAGTCTAAACCTGAATATAATCAAGAATCCAAAAATTCCAGTGGAGACGTGAGAAGCTTGTTAGCAATTATGAGAACTGCTTAACTGCTTTGGTAGAAAAGAATTAAGCATGAATAATTTTTGACATGCCATTGTTAGTAGAAGACAGATATATTTTTTTAACATAATGTGTTTCCATCTTTTGTCACTTGTTTATGTAATTTCCAGCCTGAAGAAAGTTATTAATCAAATATGAATGGACTATAAATCAATATTTGGCACAGGTATGAAGAATCTGACGAATAACTGTATTAGGAGGCAGTGACAAAAATTCTGACATACTTAACAAAACATTACTATGGTGACAAAAATGTTCTTTAGCCATATTGGTATTTTGGGTTGCATGCATGCTGAAAATGTTTCGTTTGTATGTCACTTCTCTTACATACACACCTTTATATGTTATTCTGACTTATTTCTTCCCTTCATAATCTCTCTGTGTTAATAATCTGATAAGGGCATAAAATTTTGAATTCAAGTAAAACTAAAAGAAGAATTACCTGAAGTGGAACGACTTTCTTCATGAGGTGATCAAAGAAGGAGTTAACTGCATCAGTGAATCCAAAGTAGGTTGTTCTCAGTTTCATTTTCTCATCTCGTAGTAGCCAACTGCAAAGAAATCACAGCAGACCTAAACATGTCACACAAGTTCCTCAAAGCGTTGTGCTGTGAACTCTCTTTAGGTATTTTAGAGATAAGGCACCAACTGAAGCATGACTATCACAAAATGCGAAGCAGAGGAAGTCATGCTTCACTGTGTGTCCCTGAAAACACTGTTTTGATGATTATCAAATAAATATTACCTCAACCTCACACACCCAGAGGGCACGACTATTCCAAAAATACCTACTTCCACTTTTTTCCTGCCGAGAATTTACCCGATTATCTGTCTGAATCTATTTTGATTACAGAAGTGAATGAATTCATTCTTTTAGGGAGATGTGCCTTTCAGATTTCATTCACTCTAATAGCTTAATAAAACACTGGTAGTAGTCATCAGCGACTTCTATCTTCGTAGTGGTTAACTTGTACGATGCAGTACATTGTCCTCTATTCTTAAAATGTCTTAAGATTCTGTTGTATGAGATTCTGTTGTTTTGTAGGAGGCCTACAAAACAAATTCCAGCTGGTGAAACTGGCCAAATCTGCTACACTTGAAATAATTCACATAGCTCAACTATGAATGATTTCCTAAATTAGATTAGTTTAATGGATTTAGCCTGCAGCAGAGACACCGCTAACTAACAGATTTCTAACTATCCACTTCCAATTTAATTTAACGGATTACTTAGCAACCTACTGGCCACTTGAAAATAATGCATCAGTGTTATTATGGCTGCAAGGCAGATACAAAGTATCGATAAATATAAGGTAACATTTAATTCAGGCTCTGTGATTGTTACCTGGGTAGTCCTCCCATGTCCCATTCAGAGCAGATGTACGGCCCTGGACGCAGAATCACCCAGAGGTCCAAGCTGGCTGCAAGATGGAGGTATGATCTAGGAGACAGTTGCAAAATATGCTGTCAGTGAAGTCTATTTATTTTAAAAACTGTCAATTTAAAATGTTTATTATGGCCAACATAGAGTACTGACAGATACTCATTCTCTCTTCAAGATGAAGCCAATATTCAATAGCAAACTATAAGTGATTCATTCTAAAATATTTTGTTCAATATTTTACATTCAGATTGCATTCTTCAAAGTGTGAGACAATGTGTTTCTAATGTTACCTTGACAGCAACAAAACACATTTTAATCATTTGAACATCATTTGGATCAGTGCCATCACAATAAATAAATCAACAATCACTGACATAGAAAGTGCAAACCTAATTAATCAAAAACATTTCTTGAGGGTATACGCAGCTTCTCATCTCTCAAATTATTCCAGACAATGCAATACAACAGTGCCATCTGCAGGACTTCAGGTGCTCTCCAACAGATGCTCTGAAATCCTTGCAAGTCTTTTCCTCCAGCAGTCCATCCATCCATCCATCCATCCATTATCTATACACTGCTTAATCCTCACTAGTGTCGCGGGGGGCTGGAGCCTATCCCAGCCGACTCAGAGTGAGGGCCTGGACAGGACCCTGGACAGGTCGCCAGTCTATCACAGGGCTACACAGAGGGACAAACAAGAACACTCGCATTTACACCTTCAGATAATTTAGAATCACCAATCAACCTGAGCATGTTTTTGGACAGTGGGAGGAAGTCGGAGAACCCGGTGAGAACCCATGTTGCACAAGGAGAACATGCAAACTCCACCAGGACGCGAACGGGGGATCTTCTAGGTGTGAGACGACAGTGCTAACAACCAGGCCCTTCCAGCAGTTCCTTACTCTAAATCCAGGTCATCCTCAAAGTTGAACACCCCTCGCTCAGGCTCATGCAGATTCCACGGCACATATCTGGAAAGAAGAAAACACATTTTTTGGTGTGCTTACAATATTAGTGTTTCTTGTAAAAAGCATTTATACTTTTCCTTGCTTCCCTTCAAAAGTAATTTATAAACTTTGACTCGTGAATCTGGCCTTTGCTCATTTTTTATTTATTTTATTTTTTTTGCATCTATGTGTAGTCTTCTCCAGCAAAACAACAACAATCTGCCTCTGACATTGCAGTGCTCTGTTGTTCATTGATCCAGCTGTGAGTTGCAGTGTGACCTACGTTGTAAGTGTATTGATGCCACAGGCCTTCATCTTCAGCAGCCGATCCTTCCAGTAGGCTCTGGGAACACGAAAATAATGGATGGAGCCGCCAAGAATCCGAAGGGGCTTTTTCTCCAGAGTGAACTGAGGCGACAGGGCCCTCAGACCCTCCACACGGTTCATTCTTCTGATTTTGGGGAAGTTTCTGAGGAGCAAAACACAGTTCGCAGCTGTAAAAGGAACTTGCTGTACTTATGCAGCTGGATCAAAACGGAGTGCCAAATTTGTCCACAGTGTGGGATGCGCATGCGCGTGAGCCACATAACAGGAAGTGCAATGTGGACACAACACAAACATATCATGCTGCAGCTTGTTTTGCTGCATGATATTATTAAAAATAAAAATAATAATAAAAAAACTCGCACGGTTGTCACTTGCCCTGACTTATCTACAAGAGAAGTCTGTCTTATAAAACATAGTTTGCACTAGTTCAAAAGTTCTAGGATACACGAAATTTAAATGAACACGATCGGCCGCGATGTTGGCGTTTAAATGCTCTGCTCATGAAAAAAAACAAAAACAAAAAACCGATTCATTCGTTTGTTTTTTGTAAACCTACATTAAAATACCTCACTTTTCTGCTTTTAAATCAGTTTCAGGTCCCACATCTGTCTGAGTCGCTGCGCTGTTAACGCCCGTCTGCCTTCTACTGTAGCTTGCACGTGAAGCGTTCAAGGACGTCGGTAAATTGCAGTGTCAGCTTTACAAATGACTGAGAATTTGACCTAAGTGCTACGCACTATCACAAAAGTCACCTAGCTCAAACTTTGCATAATCCTGGTCATAAACTGCCTGCTGCTTCCAGGTGAACCATTTAAAATGAGCAGTTGGCGCACAGTCCACCGGGTTTATTTACTCTCTGGAGCTGCTTCTGCTAACTAAAATGTCTCTGTCATGAGCAAAACACACCAAATGTTCTGCTGTTAGCTGCAAGAATGAGCACAAAAGATTTCATGCACTCCCAGCATCTGAGGAACTAAGGACCCAATATATTGTTTTTAGTTTTGATGTCATCAGAACAAGAGGAAAACTCTTAGTGTTGGCACATTGTGTGGAGAATGTTGCTAATGTACAGCTAGCTTTGACTGTATGCCCACTGGTCAGAGCTCTGAGGAAATTGTAAACTAAGTGACATTCATAAAAGGTAGAAACTTTTAAGAGTGATTTTAAACCAATAAACTAGGATGGGTTAATATGTTTTAATTTCGTCTGACATGCTTAAGTGCAACCTCAGCTCAGCCAGTGTTTATATCTGTTTGCTTTCCTGTACTCAACTATTCTGCTTTTTAATACAGCCAAATTCCCTATAAAACTGTTCTCATTTACCTAGTTTTGGATTTATGTTGTCAGATAGTAGAACAAGTATGAACTGGTGCCTGAAATCCCTGGTCTCACACATTTATTCACGGCTGTGTTGCTCTATCAATCACTGACGCAGAGCGGGTCTTCTTCCTAAAGAAGGTGTAGTTCAGCTGTGTTCAAAGCAACAGACGCTTATGCATCCCAAACAGGGGTACAGTCATAGTAACATGAACCGGCTTTGCTGTAATTTTGAGTTGAAAAACTGAAAGACACATCGTTTGGAGATGTTAAACTTTCACTTATTCCTACTGATCTTTAAATTGCAATAAAAATATTTTGTCTCTAAAATCAATATATAATTGTGATTTACAGGATAATCATGATCTCAGTACTGATTGAAATAATCGTTATTATCATATCATGTTGACCAAAATTGTGCAGCCTTAATCAATTGCACAGAAATATTACAACAATAGAAGGAACTATGTTAACCAAAACTTTTGCTCTGTTGCCAGCATCTTGCAATTGTTGCCACTCCACAAAGCAGTACAACTAATGTGTTTCACCATGCAAATCAGCACTACAAAGCTCTAAATGATAAATGGAAAGCCATCCATGAATGCCATCCAATGCAAAAACTATTTTGGATGCCATTGTCACACTCCATTAGAAAGGTTCCAAATACTTTTCACTGAAAAGGTCTTTACAGTGAAAACAGACCTCTTAGGTAATCTGATTAAAACTTTTTGTATGTTTTCACATGACAATATATATATCATAGAAAAACAAAATATCATAATGTCAGCTTTTTCCTGTATCGTGCATGCTCTTAATTGGGGCACTTTTCTCTGAGCTATGCATTTAAACCCAGTTGTACCTGTTCCGAACTCTCCTTCACAAAGTCATTGTGGAAAAAGTCTGCTGTAGCATGTGCCTCTCATGTGTTATCACAGGATCTGAATGTGGTTGTAAAATGAAAGCCAGGTGCCTGAGTTATTGATAGGTTTTACAATCATTCAGCATGTTACAGACTTATCCTGTACAGATCTATGCTACACAAATCAACAAACAGATACTGTTCTGTCTTGTAGCAGTAGAAGTGATCCCACATGAAATTTGCTAGGCTGAAAATACACACAAGACCAAGACAAACTGGTTTAACACAGTGACAGGTAACACAACATGTTAGGCAATCATGCCAATATCCACAGATAAGCAGGTGAGAGTCCGTGTTATGAGGGGGATGAAGGTCAATTACTGAAGTAGAAGCTCCAGTCAAGCAATGCAAAAATGCTATTTTACAAGTCAAATAAAACAATCCTACTTAAGTGAAGGTCCAAAAGCATTAGCAGACAAATGCATGGCTAAACAAATAAAAATTTAAAAGTAGGCTAAAAGTCCTGGTTTGGTCCCTCTGACTAATAGTTTTTTTTGTTAGTAAGTTATTACAATTGCATTATTAACACAGAGTCTTGGAGTTCCTGTTACAACTGTAGCTGCAGGTGGCAGCTACATCAAATACATCTGTGGGGTCATCAGGTGATTTTTGTGGGAGGAAAAAAACAAAAAAAAGTTCTGATGGCACAAATCTGTTTTCAGTTTTTGGATGTCTTCCTCTAATCTCTGATTTTTAGTTAGATACCGGGTCATGTGAGCCCCTTGAGGAATTTAGACAGGAAAAATCCCCTTTTGGTGAAGCTGTTAACAACTCATATTCATCTGAAATGTGACCCGACTGCAGACTGCTTCTTGTAAGACTTTAGAAGCAGAAAAACATATTTTGAACTTTGTGTTATATTTCAAAAACTTGATATATAAAAACCTTAATCTTTAAAGTAACGTTGCTAAATCATTGCAGTGGAGCAGACAGTTGGCTACTTACAACGTATGACTGTACTTAGTTACACCACTGATGGAAGTTCAAGTTGGTTGGTCTCTTAGCAACAGAGCTCCGCATTAACTTCTGCATACAGACACTAATAGAGCAGATGCATTAAACCATGGAGAAACTCTCTCCATAACAACTCAGTGGGTGGGGTGGACATCCAGAAATCCATCTTCATGCTTATTAAGAGTTACCGACTGGTTAGACACTGACTTGGTTAGCTGTTTGAGGGTTTTTTTCTTACCTTGATAACTCATACATAATGATGGTTCCGCCAATAAGGCACAGGAGGAAGATGTATCGCTGCTTTAGAGACATGTGAACGCAGAACACCGACGACCGCTCCATAGAATACGATTGCTTCCTGTACTGTATTCTAATGTTTAGGCAAATGTAAGCGCATGGGGACAGTCCGACCCTCTTCCTAAATCCTAGTCTCGTCGACCGGCTGAACGAGTTTGTCACATTTTGTTCTTGCAACGTTGAGCGGCAATCTCGCAAAACCTGTCAAAGATGACATGTTAGTGTCTGTGAGGATGAGCTTTCAAGACAAGACACAATTCGCAGCTACTTCTGGAGTTTAAAAAGACGTGGCCAATTACAAATTAAAGACTTTCTTTTTATAGTATTTCATATGACCTGTATTTTTCAGAAGAAGCTTAGCTGAAAGTGTAAGCTGATAACGCGACTATTGTTGTCCCGATTCAGGGACCGTCGCAAAATTAACAAAGGCACACCATAAAACCAGTCAAAACGTTAATTACTTTTTTCTCTTTTCCCCTCTAAAATAAAGAAGATCATGCTAAGAAAGTGCTATTATTGCTATAAACCCTTTCATGATTTCTAGGAATTTAAGATTATGAATGTTTGTTGATTTAGATATGAATACAGCAACAACAACAATAGCATTATTTATTGTTATTGTTGTTATTTTTATCTAGTTATTTGTAATGAATTTCATTAATTGGGAGGGAAATGTGTGTTTTAGATGATGGCCAATCATTTCTCTTGCTTTTTTTGTTGTTTTTTTTTTTTAATCTGTGATGTAACCCCTCCACCCTCATAAATCTCCACCCTAAGGTTAAAGCATATTTTTTTAAAAATACATTTTGTTTCTGAATTAGCTGTTGGATTTGCAAAGTGTGTCTATGCTCATCTACAATTCCTA